TTTTTCTTCGAATAATGGACAAGTCCTAGGAAATTTTCACAAATGTTTACCTTAACTCGTTTGTGCTCGGTGTGTCCATTTCAATGCCTATAACTTTGAGCTCATCTATAGATAACTATAGTTATAGTATCTGACTATTATCTATAACTTACGACTCATTCGGATATTCCTCGTATCCTTAGCTAAAAATCAGTCGCTATTCGAAAACTAAAATGTGTGCATGTAACTTGCAGAGGTCAATATCATTTATTGAAAAATGACTTTATATAAAGTTTGTATCACGTGCAATCTGGACACAAACGGCTTAAGTCGAATCTTGGAAACAGTAATAGGAACAGGACATCCAATCCACTGCATTAAATCTACAACGTAACTTGTTTTCTCTAGTATTTGTAACAATATGTCATATTCACTCGTTCTCTTTTCATTTATTTTCGTTTCTTGTTTTTCAAATGATTTTTCACTGAAGAACTAAATACTGTTTTTCTTAAAGGTTATGCACCTATATTTTATTCAAATATTTGTATTGTATTACTTGCTTATCTTAATAGGTATGTATATTGAAATTTTAAATTTTGAATTCAAAATGACCTTTCTTAGAAATCAATAATAAATTGCCTTTGTATATTTAACAGTGTAACACTACGCCTCACTTCTATACTAGAGTACTTTCAACTTCGAAGAAAAGCTTAAACTTTTGTTCGACACAAAGAACCATAGATTAATTCGCAGCTGCTACTATCAAATTAATTAAATGATGATAACAACTTCGAATTAATCTACGGTTCTTTTCATTCCAAATAATGTTTGACAATATACGTACAATAAGTCTTACAATACAGACTTTCGAGGCATCATCATACAGATGATGGCTTAGTGCTCACAATTTTTAAAAATGTTTACCGGTTTTTTGTAGTTCAGATAGTATTCACATAAGTAGAATATATCAAGTGTGTTTACCTTCTGTACTATGAAAATTATCCTCATCATTGTCATAATCTGTTGCAGTGGACATTATACTTAATTCTTATTGTTTTTGATCAAGTATTGTAATAGTATAAAATTTTCGATCCATAACTGATGGTTTTCTACTAAAGTAAAAAAGAATTAGCAAAAATAACCCATGTTTACATATTTTTACACAGAGACAAGGTGATGGATACAACCAGATGCAATACTATGTATTATAAGCTGTATTGTCCTATTTCCTGTATATGAGCCTCTCCTACTTTTTGTACTACATCTACCTCTTTACTACATACTACTTAACACTTATCTTATAAGCTTTCACTATACTGCGATATTTTTACTACGCATAAGTTGACACAAAAATATTCAAATACGGTTAAAAAGTACATTATTTAATATTAAGTTTCATCCTGAAGTTCGAATAGTAGTACTAAAAATATAGCTTCTAGTAAAAATTCCAGTTTTAAACTTTATCATCGTAAAGAAAATTGCCGGACACTGGTATGGCTATTTAAACAAAATCGAAAATATCTATCTCACTGTTGACACTGTCCAAATCTTTTAAATTTTTCTATACATTCCTCATCAAAATATTATCGCATATCTTTTTGAGATAGGCAACTAGGTTTGTTGAGAATGTGAGTGTAATATTCTCGAACCTACATTAAATTACCTTATTTGATTGATAAAAGACCTGATAAATAATAATGTGTATGAAGTAAAAATAATTTTTCTTTTTATCACAGAAATTTTTCTATAGGAGCTTATTTGACATCATAAGTAAAACGTATGAAAATAAAAGCTGTATTATTTATAAAATAAATATTCTATTACGCATATGTATTTTCTAACACTTAAATTTTTTCTTAGTACTGTGGACGATTGTTTTATCCGCGAAAGTACCAATAACAGTAAAAACAAGAAGAATAAATTTCATTTCCAAAATACTTCGTGCATTTCTCGCTGTAGGCAGGAAAAACATTTTTTCACATGAATGAGGAGCGGATGTAGCCTTAAAAATATAGAAAGAGCATATGTCATACTTCAATACTCATTAACAATCATGTTTCGGAAAAGAATGTTGACTCATAACATTCTTTCACAGTCTTTTGGTTTTCACAGGAGAGAGAGTTAGTTGTTTTTTTAAGCTTCTTGTGATAGTACAGAGTGGCAGAGCTAGAATTATGGTGCACGAGCCGGCGTGCTTCCATTTCATTGTGGCATTACAGATGGAGCAATACAATATTTAAAGATTTACTCAGATTGGGATATGTAGAAACACTGTTATTCCGATTCATTTGAAATCCCACAAGGTCTTTTTTTCGTATTTATTACATTATAATGCGTTAGTATATCATTATGCCTTGTCATATGTGTTAGCTTTTTTATTGTGTTATAACGCGATAAATTTAGAAAAAACATGTCTTTAATGCATTGTAACGCATTAACGTAACGTGTTACATGGAAAAACCTGTCCAAAATTGAAATTATAGTGTTATAATGCATTTTTATCGACGACTTTCTCATATTTTATAATGTTATAACGCTATAAATTCGACTAGCGCGTTAGTAATTTGTATGCCGTTACAGGCGTTTCCCAATTCCTCTCGCATTATAACGCATTAATTATACCGCTATAGCATCTAACACATTATACCGTTATAAATTTATGGCATTACAATGCATTAACTGTGTTCAGACACTGTAACGCTATATCTGACAGTGGTAATAAGTGTACTGTGGGAGTTTACGCCCTAAGTCTCAGGTCATTAACGTATATGTCTGATATTGCTGAAGAATTTTTTTCTGGACCAACTTTTCGAGAGGAATCGATTGCCAGTCTCAGAATTTTATGAAAATGTGCCCTTTACGAGAAAAAAACATGTATTTTCGTTTTGGATATTGTCTAATTCGTTGTAACGCATTAATACCTATCGTGTTACATTGAGTTCTATTTTCTTATTTCATTGCAACGAGATAGAAAGCAATAATGCGTTGTAATCTATTAGATATTAATTCGTTATATTCGGTAGTCGTACTACTATCGGTTCCAAAGGCCAATGAACTCGGTTGCTTTTTTTCGAATAACTTTTGATAGGCGATAGACAGAGGCATGCGCTTTTCATTACGAGATAGCAGACACCTGAAGCCATGTTTTAATAAGCGAAACTGACATTAGAAAAAATTTCTAAGGCTGGTTTTTCAGAAGATCTTTGGAAAATCAGGCTGGATTTTTCAAAACGGTAATACGAATCTACCGATTTTTCCTCATAGGTATATAGTCTGAGGTGTGTTCTATTATTAGAGATTAATTTCAGAATTTAATCTTCAACCGTTCGGTAGAGGCATCGGATTTCCTGTAGGTCGTTGAAAGACCGCTTCTTTTTGCAGAAACGTTTGAAAAATAATGCCCAATAGGTAATTAACGCCGCTGTATATAGCGGCGATGTCTGTTTCATCTCTAGATTCAATCGGCATTTATTAATAGAGGTGTTCTTGACCCTATTCTCTGCTATAGTAATAAAATCATATGTTGTATCATTTTTTCAATCATTCTTTTTACTAAATGTATCTCACATGCATACAAAACACAAGTTTGTTTAGGAAAAATCATCAGTAATTAGTGTGCATCTGAAAAATCACTACCAGCTGGATTTTCATCGTCGTCTTCATCATCAATTAATTCGTTTTCCAATTCCTCCGCTGTTTTGTCTGCTGTATATTCTTATAAGCAATCTCTAATAATTCTACTTTTGTCATAAATGTATCAAATTTAAGTTTTTTCGAAATAAGCCAATCGGCAACCATTTGTTTTCTCCATGGCCGTTTGGGAGCTTCACATTTAGGAGTTAACTTATTGTGCCAGGTGGTATTATCGATAATTATTTCTATCTTTATTCCCTTTCCATGTTCTGCTCGTAATGTTCCAGCAGCACTCGTTACCCATTCGATGAAATGTTACTGTCCATACTGTGAACTTCGTCACATTTAAATATATCCAAAGAACGAAGATGTAGAAATCCATTTAAACTGATCATACCACTGATCGGTAATCTCTGAACTTTTCCTTCACTATTTCGTAAACGACCATGACCTTCCTCATCAAACCATATGTTAGTTTTTTCTTCATTCGTATTCATCCAAGTTTCATCATGTTAGTATAATATAGTATTCGACGATCGTAGTTCTTTCAACTTTCGATAGTATGCTGCGCGCTGTGCTTGAAATAGTGTAGAATCGAGCAATACTGGTGTCTTCTGGGTTTGTCTACATTTAAATTCCAGTTGTATCATTTGTCGCTGTAAAGATGTCTTCGACTTGACTGGAAAATTTTCATCTTGTGTCAGTAACGTCGATAGCATACTTTGTAAAGTCTTATCTAGGGGTGGGACAGTTCCAGTTCCGTTCTTTTGAACGGGAACTGGTCACCAGTTCGTTTCAAACGAACGGGAACTGCTAACTCAAAAGGAAACAGACTAGCGCCATTTGTTTGAAAACTTGATTTTTTCACTTTTTAGAGTAGTCCAAAGTTTTTGGATTTTTTCTATCGAAAAAACGTTTTCAAAAAACGTAAAAGACAGATATTCGTGATCAACGTCAAATTCTCTATCGAATAGGCTAAAAAAAACGGCAAATTTTTTTCTTCACTACATTTTTGCCTTATGTGCATCTTACAAAATTTCTAAAAAGTGTTGAGATAATTTTAGTAGAATAGTTAAAAAGTCGTAAAATAAAAACCTTAAAAATAAGAGCTAGCCATCATTTTCATAAAAAGGAAGTGACAAAGGTCTGTCTCACGTAAAAGATTGCGCCTGGAAGGAGTTTAGTCCAAAAGGTAAAAACATAAGCATTCATGTATAGCAAACATGGGTGCAAAAAAGTATAACTGTAATTGGTTATAGACCAATGGACAGGGGTTAGTGTTAAGCGTGTGCACAATATACAACTACTCTTGATCTTGACAAAAAATAAGCCGCTAGCCGCAGGAAATAAGTTTAAAAAATTACAAAAACTATTGCACACGGAGAAGCTTATAATTTGTCTTTCAGATACATTGTATATTTTATACTTTTCGATGATAATGATAAACGATTTTTCCTAGCAACGTAGTTTGCAATGCTAAATGCTTGCTCACTAGGGGCTGAGGTTGCTGTTATTGCCATGTATTTTCGAGCTAATTTCGATAAATCACGAATTGATGAACTATATTCCGACCAAAAACTCATGAAATCATGATTATCTTTTAGTAGTAATCTCAATTTCGACAATTGTTGTTGAATTGTCAAATGTCTGTTTTTGGTTTTGCCGGAAGAAATTGTTGCCTTTACTCCACATTTGTTGAGAAACTGATCAAATTTTGAGGCTTGACCTGGCGTTGTAGCACTTCCACCTGGGTCATTCGATGATATTGTGTTGGCTGAAGATGATGATGACTTAGAAGAGGCTTTTGCTCTTTTTTTGTATTCATCTTTTATAAAGTTTTCTGCATTTAACTTATCATCTTGTGACATCAAATCATGTACTTTCGGATCGAATAAGGCTGAAACCTAAATTAAACAAGTGATTAAATAAGAATTGAAGAATCCTCATAGTTTAATCTTTCAGCAGAAGCTTTAATTCTTCCACTGAATATCTTACGTACCAACATTAAGTTTCTTTGAAATTGCCCGATATTTTCAATAAAATAAAATTTGAATTTTTGATTAAGCATATTTTTAATTAAATTTTCGATATCGTTTGCTGTACTGTCATCCAAATAATACGATAATGAGAATAATACGGCATAGGCCAGCGAGAGTGTTGGATAACTTTGTCCACACAGAATTTCGGTTGCATCATTGAACCGTTCTAAAACTCGTTTCAAAATTTTTAGTAGTATCCATTCATCAGGAGACAGCTCAAGGGATAACAGACGGTTCGATTGTTTAGTAGTGATTCCATTATAACTACAAATATTTTCATAAAAACTTGATATTGGTTTTTGATGTAGTAGAAATCGTTGTATCATTTTAAATGTGCTATTCCATCTAACGCACATATCATTGATAAGTTCTACATCGATTTTGTCTTTTTTTGCTAACGACTGTATCATGTAATATACTTGACTGATGTGTCATTCGAATAAATTTGCGACATTTAACCAATAAGTCGGTAATATTATTTTTCATGAATGATATTTCTGAATCATTTAAACTGTTTTCCGCATTATCGTCTATTTCATCTTCTTCATTAGATGATATTTCAAGATCCTCAACTTCCTAAAGTATTCAAATATAAGGTGAATTTACTGGCTTGGGTGTGACTCACCAATTACTGATTCCTTTTCGCTCCCACTATCATCTGACTCTGAACTAAAACATGAAGACGTATGATATGTGAACTAAGATCCAACAAACTCGAAGTTCTTTTTAAATACCTAACAGTTGTTGTGCTTGCTATTGTTGTAGAAATTTTCTTCTTTTTTTTGGCCACAAACCCAAAGCATTCTGAATGGACAAATTCAGACCGTGCGCCATATAATGTATTCGTAATCCAAATGCAGCATTTTTTTCTGTTGCGGATCTCACATCGGATCTAGGGGTGTTAATTTAGTGTTACTTTGGAAAATAAATATAAATGAATCATTTATACTTAAAAAATAAAGATAAATTTTTCATTTATATTTAAAAACTAAATATAAATAAATGAAAAAAAATTTATCTTTATTTTATAAAAGTAAATGATTCCTTTACATTTATTTATTTATTTCTACCTTTACTTTTAAAAATAAAGGTAGAAATAATAAAGGAATCATTTACTTTTATAAAATAAAGATAAACTTTTTTCTCATTTATTTATATTTAGTTTTTAAATATAAATGAAAAATTTATCTTTATTTTTTAAGTATAAATGATTCATTTAGTTTTATCCTTTATTATAAATGAAAAATAAAACTAAATTAACACCCCTAATCGGATCCATTATCCGTCGTGGTACTTATTATTTTCTGTTGAATCCCAAATTTGATCAATATTCGTATGAGATGGCTGGCTTTCAATTCTTTTGGCAAATTTTCTTCCATAGAATTGTCGAAAGCTTAATATTGTACTCTTTACTTCAAACTGATGAGTAACGTAATGAGCTGTGACACTCAAAAAATAATGTTTACGACCCGATTGCCATAGATCTGTTGTTAAAGCGATGTGATCTACAATTGATAATTGGTGTTTTAGATCATGTTGTTTTTGTAAATACAAGGGGACGAGACGTCGCCGAACTGTTTTAGAGTGGGGACCACGATAGCCGGGTGTTGCTTGTTCTAAAAATATTTTCATTCCTGGACGACGAAATTCGTTAAACGGCCGGCTATCTCTGACTATACATTCGATAGCAGCATCGTCTAAACTTTTCTTTTTGACGTTAGAAATTAGCGTCGATTTTTGTAACTGAGATTTATATCGTAGATGAGACAAACCATGGCTATTTGCCAAATGACGACGAATATTAGCTGTAGTGCCCGTACCACATCGATAATTCTACAAGCACAAATAATGACTAGATCAAATACCGCTTTGAGAAAGAGATAGAATATGCAGAGAATAGCAAAGCCGGCTTAATCGACACCAAAATTTTAGCTCCTTACTTGGAAATGATCTGCGCTCCAAATGCGTTAATATCCATAAAACATAATTCACGTACCTTATCGCAAAGTTTACACTTATAATCATTTGTGGATCGTTGTTCAACATATTGATGAACTGGAGATGGAGAGCTGCTGGCAAATTTCGACTTTGTTGTTTAAATAATCTCGTCTTGTGATATATCACTGAGGTTCTCAACGTCATCGTTATTCGCTATTGTTCTGCTTTGTGGTTGAGTGGTAACGGTTTTCTTCCTTTTGTTATTTCGTAAACTTCCACCAGGTCTGAGAATAGGTGCCAACGATGCAGAATTATTAACATTTTCTGCTAGTTTTGTACTTATACGTTTACCCATTTTGATAAAGTACGACTTTCTAAACTATTATAGCATTTGTACTTGTTCTTACTAAACTATTCACAGAACGACGGTGTTACGCCTGTATAGACTACGCGATTAAAATGAAAACAAATTCTTTTCTTCCTTCTGTTCTTATGTATACATCATTCTGATCGAATTTCTTTCTTCCAAATATGAATAGACATTCCCATTTTTCCTATTACATGCTGTCTAAAAACAAATCGTACCTTACAAACGAATAGTCGTTTTGTAGGCTACGATTTTCATCCTTAAACTGTATCGTCATTGTAACAACTACTATCGGAGACAAAATAGAAGAGCACTGGTTATTTTTTGATTAAGTCAGCATCATATAAAGATAGAGACTTGCGATTTTCACCATTCGGTAACCAAAACTTGAATCTATCTTTCTACAAGCAAAAACTATTTTCGGAAAAATTTCGATACCCTATGTTTTCATTCATTTCCCACAGTCCCACCCCTACTTCTAATCAGGTTAAATTTCAAAGCGTTGCAATCTATAAAAACGATTTCCCCGATGTTAAACAAGAAGCCTCTGTGCTGACTCCTTGGATGGCTAATCCATCAACGAAACTATAATACAGATAAAGAACTTGCCAAACTTGGCGAAGTACTTCATAAAACTGGCAAAGTTGAAGTGTGTATGAAAAATAGTTTAGATTTGGAGAAAACAGTTGCGCTGAAGACTCATATTAATATAAGTCGAAATGATTTAGATTTTGTCAAAGGCTTTTTGCATGCGTCTATCCATATACCGAATAGAAATTTAGTCTATGAACATACAAGAACACTATTACCAGCTTTAAAACCTGCAAGAGAGCGAAGAGGAACGGTTGTGGAAAGTGTTCGGCAAGCTGCTGAACTGACTGTGTCAAGGCTCATTGATTGTTTGACCAAACAAGGTGTAAGTGTGCCGACAAAATTAACACATCGTAGTTAATTAACACATAAGTTGGTCACGACGGTGCGGGTAATCAATCTGTCTATCGTTCTAAAGACAATCCAATGAGTGATCCTAACTTGTTCTGTCGAATGTTCGCCCCGCTGAAAGTGGCCTCGGGGGAAGCGACTGTCTAATGTGTTACATTCGACAGGGAGATTGGCATGATCGTGAGAAACTGCAAGATCCTGAACACCTTGTTGCGAGTTGTACAAAAACCTCACTGGAGATGACGGGAAAATTAAGAAGAAACTGAATGACTACAATGAACGTGCCCATTTAACAAACCAACCTATATCCCAGTCCGATCATCACTATCTCACACTCACTCACTAGTGAATAAACGGCACTCATTGGGTTCTTAACATCATTTACAGACTAACTTAGACAGTTCGAGCAGAACACAATCAAATCCTATTAAAAAAAACGAAATTCGATTTCTTGAAAGATCTAGAAGAGAAAACTGGCCTTAAATTGGATCAACGTGACGGCTGTGATAATTCAGGTATGAGTACGACAGGTTCGCAAGGCCGTCGATTCTTCTCATCTAATCTAAGGGAAAAGATAATTGAATTAATACCTAAATCGCATCAAGACAATGTCCGTATGCTCATGAAACTTTATTCACTTATTTTACGAGCTGTGTCCTCTTCTCGAATGATTGATTTAACAACCTATCGCAAAGCTACAATGGGTTTCACATTGTTCATAGCCGCCGAACTTCCTTTTGTCAAATACAATATTACAGTTCACAATTTAATTTTCCATAGTTGTGAACTAATCGAAATAAATAACGGAAAAGCGTTGGGCAAATTGTCAGAAGAAAGTTTGAAATCCTCAAATAAAGATGTCAGAGATTTTCGTGAACATTTAGCACGAAAATCTGATCATCTGTCAAATCTTTCCGACATATTTAAACGCCTCTTTCTTCGCTCAGATCTGATTATTCGATATGAAATATCGAGTTCCATTCGTAAGCGGAAAGACGAACCCGGCACATTTCCTACATGCCTTAGCGAGGACGATACATTACTGAATTTGTTATTTTTGGACAATTAGTGTTTTGAAATTTGTATATTTTTTCTGTCGCTGTTGAACTTCCAAAAAATTCTATTTTTTTCGCTTTGGTTGGTCGGTTAGCATTCTAATCTCTTCTGTTGTCTGTTTTTGTACATTTTGTTGTTTTTTTAACCGACAAAGCATCTAATTTTGTAAATAGAATTGTTAGTTCTCGATATGAAAGGCTTTAACGTCGTGAGAAAATGAAACGATATGTGAAAACATATGGGTAAAATTTTCACAGTTTTCTTCTAGATCCAAGAGGCTTCTGATCTCCGAGTGCAATTCTGCAGAACTTTTTTCGTAAGTTTCGGGTCTGTCAGTGAAGCTCGTAATAGTTCTATGCCTTTTATGTTGTAGTACTATGCACTATTATTATTATCATCTTTATACATTAAACTACATTTTATTTCTTTATGTACAGTTTGTAGTGAATAACGTTAGTGTTTTTAGTTGAGTTTATGTTACATAATTTTGTTTTTAATGTATGGATAAAAAATGAATTGTATTAGTTTTCCCAACTAAGAGCATCACAATTTCAATGTATATCTTATACAAACATTTATTTAGTGGGATCTGACTAAATTCTCTTTTTTTTTACCTACCCTTGACTCTGTCAGTAGAAAAAAAATTCTTATATCCCGCCTTAGAATCCACCTGCAGTCAGCCTGCAGGGCAGTGCAGAAGTTTACACCCTCAACCTCTGCCTGTGCAGAACAAAGTATTTTTTTGCTAACTTGCAAACTGCAGCGCGGGTGAATTTTCTTTTGTCGCTACGCGGTATCGCTCAGGGGTGAAAAGTTATGCAGGTGATCAACTCTGACACTAGTTAACAATTACTGGAAATATTTTCGTCGGTCGACACAATTTTAAAAAAAAATTTTAAAATTGTTTTAATTTTAAAAAAATTATGAATTTATCAATATCAAGTGCGAAAACGCTTAAATTGGATTATTTCATATAAAATCAATTTTTACTATTATCAGATTAAAAGAAAAAGAGGAGTCAGCAGAAAGACTATAACTCAGCGAAGAAGATAGATAGCGGACTGCGGTTTTCCCCATTCGAAAGAGCACTGTAGGGCACGTATCCTTATGCAAAAAGCAGAGTTTTTTTAACTGTTTCAGGGTTTTTTCAAAAGGAGTCAATATTTGGAAAACCAGTGTAGTTTGATCGGAGAATTATTTTTCGACTTATTTGGTGAATCATATGGCAAAAAATCGCGCTCTTTCGAATGGTGTGTAAGCAATCCGCAAAGTTTTGCTTCCTCACCGAGATATAAGCGTTTTAAAATAGGCTAACTTTTTGGAAAATTTCACTTTTAAGCCATAAAAACCGGCTAGACATAGATAATCGACTACGCTAATCATTGTAGTGATATCAGTTTTGAGGATTCGAATAAGACGTAATACTCTACATTAGAACACATTTCGAAGACATCGGAAATCGAGCAAAAATTAATCGAAATAAAAATATTAAGATTTTTCAGTCTCTTCGATAAAAGCTTAAAATAATCACAACTTTTGTAAAAACAAAAAGCATCTCACTGAACACAATCGTATTTACTTTCCTCTACACTAAAATATGCTCTACTCAAAATAAATCATTTTGTCTAAAAAGAGGAGATGATTATCAAACTAAAATAAAAGATGATAGTCTTTTTCATTCAAAGAAATTATTACTCGGCATTTAGTATACTGCTATGCATATCAGAGACCGATACGAATCAGAAAAACCAGATTCGATTCATGACAACTGTTTTGAATCCTAAATCGGTTCGATTAGATTAAACCTAACGTTTCAGATATCAAATTCTGTCAGGCTCAATTCGTTCGGTTTTTTGCAGAATTTTTCAATTTGTTTTGGACTCTAATCCATATATTCTGTGACTCTACAGTATAGTTAGTTTCTGCGAATTTCGAATGAACAACGATATAGTAGCGATAGATTATAACTGCAGTCTGACTCTATCAGATACGATCATTCAATAAACAGTTCACATTTTAGAGAAAACTAATTCCACTTCGAATTTTGTTTAGACATTTTTAGAGTTCATTCATTATAACATATGGTGCAAAA